AATCTTAGCACACTTAAATGGAGCACTTGGTATGATTTTCAAACTGTTCCTGCATATACATACGCTGCACATATGCTGTTAAACTTAATAGTTTTCGATGGTCAGTGTTTCAATAATCTACCTAATATTATCGAAGTCTGAGGGATATCACAACGTATTCGTTCCAATTGCGTTATCCTATTTCCAACTAACCTTGCACCTCACTCTCAATTTAATATGACCTGTATTTTTGATCTACACTTAATTTTCGATCAAAGACCACTCAGAAAGGATCTGGAAACTCAGTGAGATTTCGTTATATTTCATGGAATATAGCGAAATCTCACTGAGTTTCCAGATCCTTTCTGCATTTTATTTGAATCTTAAAGAATAGTGATCTATTTACAGTGATGTAGTGATAGTGATCTGATTTGATAGTCTCAGTTAACTATAGTGATTTGATGATGATCAATGGTGATCTGATCTATCACTACCATCATGCTTATCAGCTTTTTAACATGCAATTTGTTGTTGGTGTTGTGAAGGATCGTGGATAACACTGACCTAGCTCAGTCAGATGTGTGTATAAGTTGTTTTACTTTCAGGTAATGTGGAACGTCGTGATGAACTGAATCGTGAACGAAGTAAATTTGTAGACACTTTCGAAGCGGTATTCTTTGACGATAGAGAGGGAGCGTGGTTCGATTTGAACATTCGAACGGGGGATCGAGACGATGACGCGTATCCCTCGTTGGCGGTACCATTATTCACAGAATGCTATAGCACGTTGAACAATCATATGATGGTGGATGTACTGGAAACGCTGCAACGCAAGGGTTTATTACAGTTTCCTGGTGGAGTGCCTACAAGGTGAGAATTATTGTTGTCATATTATTCCACTAAACCCAATAGAGTACGATAGTTTAGAAAGTAAATCATAGGGGACATCCAGTGTGTTCCAGTTTACGTTTCCGTTGGGAAAATCCAAGGGTCCTTCTCCGTTCGAATCCCCGCTACAGGCTTCGG